TGTACTCAGACCAGTAATATTTGGGGTCACAAGTTTTTGCCATGGATATTTTGTGGGTCAGAAGACAAAAAGTTTGGGAACCACTGGTTTATGTGAACACACACTAAAATACTACAAAAGTTAAATTTACTATGTAAATCAGAAGAGAAATGCACTTTGTGTTCAGTCATAACAAAACTTCACAATACTGGTGCTGGGCAAAATTTTGTTTTTTGTTTTTCCTTATTTAAATGTTTTTTTTGCTAAGAGAGCTGCATGTTTGACTATGAGTTCTCAAAACAATAATTGTATACTGCATTATACCGCTGCACCTCCAGCATCTATTCAGCTACTGGTAATTGCAGCTGATGCACACTCATCCTTGCGATATCTTTTTTCCTTGTGTTTGCTATACTCAGGTTGTCAACTTCTGCACTCCAGAAAAACAAGGTAAATCCGAACATTTTGTCATATCTCAATGGACTGGTAGAAGTTGGAGTACTCTAAACAAAAAAGGTCACATTTTGTTTCCACATTCAGAACCCTGAAGAAATGGACTTAGCAGAAGATTTTGATGAACTCACACAGTCATCAGACACTGCCACAGATGACACAGATTCACCCACTTCTGGCTACCGTCATGCATCCCTTCTTATTCAGAAGCTGGACTCAGCCACTTTGGGTAGGATTAAGTTTGTACAAATACAGAACGAATTATCTAAATCGTCAGCAGTGTATAATTTATCACTCTGGCAAATCAGGCATTCAGATTTTATCTGATCATCAGTTTAAATATTAAGTAAAAGTATGCACTCTGGTTACAATGAGAAAATAGTTTTTTTTCCATTTTTTTAATCCTACAGACACAACAAATATTGCAAAGCTGCAGAACATATTCCACGAATATGAACGTGCAATTCGAAAAGAAAGGAGTCACCGCGGGTACCTGGCAGACAAGGTGAAGCAGCTAGAAGTGGAGAGGGCGGAGCTCAAGAACTCTCTGGAGGAAGTTAAAGATGCTAAGTCTCTACTGGAGCACAACCAGCTGGAATTACAGACTGAAATCACAAACCTCAAGTGAGAACTGCGCTCTTATTTCAGAAACACATTGTAGTTTTATTTGCCTTTAATATGGCTCTGTTGTAATGCATTTTGAATTTTGGGTAAAGATTTCAGCTGAAACAAGAGCAGGAGAATCGTCACAATGCCACCATGATGTACAACACTACTCGAGACAAGCTGAGGAGGACAGAGGAGCAGCAGCAGCTGGAGGTTCAGGAGAGACAGAAAGTGGAACTCGCTCTCAGAAACTTGGAGTTGGAGATGAGAACACTGATCTGCAAAATAAAACAGGCACGTTTTACTTTATTACTTTGTTTTGACTGGGTTGTTGTTTGGTGTAAATAAAAATGTTAAATCTTAACACCCAGCTTGAAGAGGACAATGGAGAGACCCAGAGACTGCTGGCTCAGGAACGGAGCACACGGATCCTGCAGGAAAATCTGCTCAGTAATCATCTCCGAAAGCAACAGGAGATAGAAGTGGAGAACAAAAGAAACATGAGCAAAAGCAATGAGGTAACACCCACTATTGATCAACCAGTGGCTAAGAATATGACTGGTTACAAGTTAGTATCCAAATGTTTCTGTTTGTAGGCATAAAATAGATATGAAATCTAAGTAAGAATATACTTATTATTTTTACATATATCAAAACTATAATTGTGCAATTATCAGAATAAATCAGAAAATATCATGTTGGGTATCAAAATAAACCTAAGAATCTTGGCTAAAAACTCATGGAAACTTTTTTACATCCACCAAACACAGTTCAAACGTTAAGCAGTTGAACCAGAAAGTAAACAAACTGTACAAAATGGGATTGTTGCAAATCTGTAAATACATTCAAGAAAATCTGTAAAGGAAACATTTTTTACATTGTCTTCATAAAGCAAGTCAAAATAGATACCAAAATAGGTTAGAAAGTGTGTTGAATTTTTTTACTTGATTTTGATTGAATATGATCCAACTGAAGTCAAATATAATTTCTCCTTATTTTATTTGTGTGTGTGTGTGTGTGTGTGTGTGTGTGTGTGTGTGTGTGTGTGTGTGTGTGTGTGTGTGTGTG